ACAAAAACGCACAACACCGTAAGTTTGTCTAGAGTAATCACTCACAGACACCTCATTGAGAGTCGCTTTGGAGTACAATGCCGTGAAATAGAACAATGTTTACACTAATAGGGGAAGTGGAAACACCATTTTCAATCTCCAAATCAAGGTTTAAACGAGGGACAATGGGATGCCCGTTATGTCATTCGAGTCTCACGGTTTTGATTTCGTAAGTAAGGAGTTTTTGCTTTCAAAAATGAACACTTCAAATTAAAAAGAAAAAAAAAATTTAATTCCAACTATACTAATTAATTACACATGGCATTTGCTGATGTGTACTTCATTTGCCACATAAGACATGTTATTAACGCCGTTTAGGATTAGGGACTAAAACCAGAATAAGTTGAAATTTGGGGATCAAAAAGAGCAATTTCAAATTTTGGGGACGTCCCGATGAACATAATCAGAAAATTCACAACTGTGAGCGCTAAAAATAATCCTGCAGACAAAGGGCAAAGGCATGTCAGAGGATGATTTGCTCCTTCTTTTTGTTCCATTTTTAATCTATTCCCCAGTTATGAAACTAAATTTTACTATCATGAAAAATAAGGCAACAATTAGAAAAAGTGAGAGAACTCAACATTTAAACACCATCCCAATTGTCCAATACTTCAGAAGGAAAGCAACATATATCATATGTGGACATTTATCAATCTTAACATTCAAAGTGAAATAGAAACTGAATCAACTCTCATGCACAAGACCAAATAATCGAACATAATTTTAAAAATCATTCTCACTAAACCAGATTATATCTTTTGACAACAATTGAATAAAGTCAAATATTAACATGTAACCGTGCAAAGCTGCTCACATTCACGAGATGCAGTATTAAAAATGAAACTAAAGTATTAACATGCAATTGTGGAAGTAGTTCATATTCACAAGATGCAGTAAAAAGTATTATTTTAAGGAAACTTAAGCATGCAGACTAAACGGCAAAACAAAGGCCAAACCAATAATCCAACAAACATTTTTGGGGGGTTATTTGGGAGCAGGGGATCAAATTTATAAAAATAAAACTTAAAAGAAAAAGAAAAAAAAAACGTTTGAAGCTGAGGGTGACACCCAATCTCTACAGAATTATGGTTTACCAAACAAAGGAAAATCTGTTTTATTGATAGATTATTGAAGGCCAAGGTTCATAATATCGGTTACAAAGCCTAGGACCAACATCACTTCACCTCAAGCTTAAGGGAAGAAAGCATAATTATTCCCAGGAGCATCCAAGTCAGCATACTAAGCTACCAACTACAGATAAATTCTAGCATGAAGGATAACATTTCTAAACACACACGTGTACTTGTCATATAAACTCACAATCAAATAAGAACTTGATTACCTTGGCTTCAGAGCTTGTAAAATGTATTCAGAAGCATTCAGAGGCAGGGTATGAAGTACATCATACGGGCCACCCCCATCAACCTCCCTAATTCCAAAAAAAAAAAAAATTAATTATGACAAAGTTTAACAAAAACAAGTACCAACTATTGCCTACAAACTAAACAATATAAAACTATCAACATAACATGAACACAACCACACAAAATTCCTAAATTTCTAGAATACTATTTTCACTCTCCAAAACTCATTAACCTACATTATGTTTAACGCAAACCATTATTATGCAGATTTTTAATGTGATACTCCAACTCCGATAAGAGAATAACACCAAAAATACTTAAGGAATTATATCAAACCTTTTTCCTATAAATAAATATACCAAAAAATTCAGAGAAAATAGTCTATGCACATACTACCATTCGATCAAAAATAATTATGTATAAAAAGTTTGTTGAATTTTACAATAATTATCCTAAAAGTGGTATCTACCATAATTCCGAACAAGTACACTGACCATACATAAAAATTAAACTCGATAATTAATCTCGGGAAGCACGAATAAAATCACTCATACGCGAGCAAGAAAACTTTTTTTATTTTAAAAAAAAATACATGAAGCAATTCATACAAGGATGTCCACTATTGACTAAGCACTAACCTGTTTTGTGGCAGCACATTTAACCCTTGAGTCAAAGACTTGGAAGATCTCTGAAAATCAGCATAGTCATCATTCCTGGTTCGGTCCAAAGGGAAGTGCAGCAGAACCACAGGCCCCGACCCAAACTCATTGGAACCATTCACCCTAAGCTCCACACTCTCCCTCTCTACCACCCTCTCAACCTCAAAACGCAACCCGCAATTCCCGCAAAGCAGGGCCACAGCATTGAGCGTCACGAAACTCACGTTGCCCATCTCAAACGCGGCGCAGCCGGCGGAGTCCAGCCCCGGCAACTTGCTCGCAAGCCAAGAAACTCTCTCGGCGTCGAGGTCGCGGCACTCGCCGACGTCCCTGTCGCCGAGAACGGCGTGGAAGGGAAGCCCAACGAAGGGGCCCAACACGCGGTAGAACTGACGCAGCACGGACACCCACTTGGGCCTGGTGAGCCCGGAGCCCCGCGCGGAGACGTCGCCCAGCACCAGAAGAAGATCGGGCCGCAGAGTCTCGAACGATTTCTGTTGGCGAAATTAAAAATAAATAAATAAATAAATGGGGTTTATTTTATAAGTGGGTTAGGGTTAGTACCCGGAAGAATTTGGACATGTAGTAGTGACGGAAGAGGTGGTTGAGGAGAGAGGAATCGGAAGCGGGGAGGAGAAGATCGGCGACGATCATGACGTTGAGGTTGTTGGTGTGCTGGTGTGGGTGGCGATGCAGGGGATTGGCAGTGGTGCAAGAGGGAGTTGAGGCCCACTCCTCGAAAAGGAGGAGAAAGGCGATTGCGAGAAGTGACGCGGAAAACACTCTGAAACCAAACGCCATTGCTGCTTCCGCCTCCCATTCTTCTCACTTTCTGCGCCGCTCTTTCCTTTTTACTACTACTGCTACCAATTTCCCGTTACTCGAGTCGAGGATAAATAATTAAATACTCAAACTCTATTTATTCATCGTGTTACTGTCCTAACTCCTAAGATCTATCTTGAAATATAATTCCTTTAATTTTTAGATATTATATGAATTATATTTATATATAAAATGTATATAATTTTTTATTTTAATAAATACTGATTTATTACTTTACTATTATAAAAAAAAATTAATATAAAAATTGACATGACGATGGAATAATAAATTTTTAAAAAATGTTAGTGAAATTTAAGGAAAAAAGAAAAAAAAATAGTTTTTAATTTATAAGGATGAGTTGTTTAATCTTTTAAGTATATAATATTAAGAATGAATTGATATAATGACATGTGTAATTATATTACATGAGCTATTATGGATTTATATGATGTAAGATATAAATGATGATTGAGTACGAGATATGTGTCATGAGCACAAGAATTCACCTTCAAGCCATGAGTAAAGTCTTTAAGCCTTGAGTTATGAAGTACTAGGCACCACATGTATAAAATTTTAGAGTAGTTCAATTTATTTCAACATAAATGTGGAATGTGAGTGTATGTAATGTTATTGTTGTGATGTTATTATTTTAAATGTTAATGTTGAGTTGTTTGTGAATTAATACCTTATTATATATCTATATGTAAACATATTAGAGTGATGTATTTCTCACTTTTTATTAAGTGTTTTTTAGGAGTGATCATCGTGACGATACGTGAGAGATGAGACATGAGCCTTAAATAAAGTTATGTTGTGTATGATATAATGTGACACTAGAAACTTAGATTATAACATTTGTTTATTTGAGTTTCTTTACTATTTTAATGTTGACACTAGTATGCATGGTAGAGAGTGTCACAATAAAAAATATATATATATTTGCTTGTAAATATATTAATCGGTAATTTTCTCTTTTACCTTTATTTTAATATGAATATATTAATGAGTCATCTTATTTTCTATAAACATAATTTCATTTATTAGACAACTAACACTATAAGTCATATTTATTGGTTGAAAAAATTGTTTTTTGACTTTTGAATATTGTCATTAAATATAACTATCACTTAGACTATTTAGTTCTATGAATATTTTTTGAATGGAATTTTAAATTATGATATTATTAATTACAACTAGCCAAATTAACTACTTTCATTAATTTTTGATGAATTAAATAGTTGCTTCTTATACAAAAGAACGAGTGTAATATTACAAAACTTATTATTTTACACAACAACTGTTATTTAATAAAAGGAATTTTAAAATTACTCTTGCTAGCATTCTTTTATGTTATAAATGAAGCATAATAGTGATATAGTTAGGGATGGTAATGGGGCCCATGGGGGCGGGTAATAGTAAACCCGACCCCGCCCCGCTAAATGAAAATTGGTCTCATACCCACCCCATATCCGCGCGGGTATCTATTAAGCGAGTATCCATGAATTTCTTAAATATACACGGATATCCATGGATATTTATAAAAATTTTAAGAAATTAAAAAAATTATATTACAAATAATTTTAAGTTTATATTTTAATGTCATTGAAATATTAAAAATAAAAATTCAATGTTAATTTTGAACTTTTATTTAACGTTAATTTTGTTGAAATAATAATAAAAATTCAAGATAATCAATAACTTAAAATACATCAATCTCACAAATAAGTTAAAGTCTCATCACAAAGCTACAATAATTCAATCTCATAATTCCAAATGAAAGTAAATAACTTAAAATACATAAATCTTATTGGTCCAATCAAAGCTAGAAAATTAATTAAATTAAATCCAACATAATTCTATAACATGCTTAACACATGTCGGTAACTTCATCAACCTCACTTTTGTAAGAAAATAAGATGAGAGAGTGTAGTTTTAGGGTTATGTGGTACAAGGATAATTAGGATATTTAAGAAATAATATTAAACAGGTACCCGCGGGTATGGATATCATCATACCCGCCCCCGCCCCATTTATAAACGGGTAAAAATTTATCCGTCCCCCTTATCCGCGGGTATCCAATTAGCTTATCCATTTATTATCCGTAGCGGGTTTTATCCACAGATACCCACGGGTGTGAGTTTTTTTGCCATCCCTAGATATAGTATAGTTAAGAACAAAACAATCTAAAAAATGTGAAGTGTAACGATGTGACAGGTAACTATATGCTATAGCACGATAATTAAGCTGCAAAAAACATAAACATCATGTAACTTAGATATTCATACAAGAAGTACTGGAATATTCATGTAACAATATATGTATAGGAACAAAAAAACTTAAAACAATCCCTACTTATAATAGCTTAAAAGCATAAAGTTCCTCAATGGGTTACAACAAAGTCATGTACATATACATACATAAACACACACACACATATATATATACACACACAAATTCCAAAACTAGAAAGTAAAAAAAAATATATAAAAAAAACCTTAAGTTATCGATCAAGCAAATATCTAACTATATCAAAACAACCTCCATCAAAATATCGCCATCTCCTACCATGGACAAAACATTGTGTTTGCCCTCCAACCTAATTCTAACATACTTTCATAACAAGTATGATTATTACAGTCCAACACATGGAAAAGTAAGGGTAAGCTCGTGTAAAAGAATCGACATAGAATATAAAAAATTATAAGTTAACTATATAATAACTTCACCACACAACTCAACAACAGTCAGATGCTCAACTTCATACAACACAGGTAAACAATTAATCAAAATCAACTTCATAATATTTTATAAAATCAACAAGTTTGCAATTCATAAAGTATTCGCAACACCACAACTTCACAACTTATCAACTCAAAAATCTCAACAACACAACAACACGGTTTACAATTCAACAATCTTAATAATATTACAACACATGGATTGTCATGCATTCATAATTGAGAGATATCTTACAACACAAGTGAGAAGTTTAAGTGGTTTGATCTTACCGAATCAACAATATAAAAGACCCATAATATCTAGGTCACACAACACAACTTTGGATATCAATCCAATATCAATGCAATAATGACTATTCGGATTTCACCAATTAAACTAGGAAAGTTCAATAACCTTGTTAGGTTTAGTAATAGCTTGGTTATGGATCCGCCATGACATTGGTATATGCATTAACTAATTCGCATGTGGGATTCAACCTGCTAACTATTCTCTCAAAACACTCATCTTTTTAACAATCCATTAGAAATTTTAACCTCCGATCTCATACATTACTCATAATGGTCACTTCATAAGTAGTATGACTTAGCTTTGCCTCTCATACTGTATAAACTAAAAACCTAAAGGAGACACAACACACCACTTCAAGAGGCAACTAACTCAATAAGGGTTTTCAATTTTAGGGCTTTTAGAGCACCACATCATAAACCACATGAATACAACATAGTTCCATAATTATACAACATGCATCATCTTATATATGGTAAAATCTTAAAATATAAATAAGATTCAAAACAAAGATCCTAATCGAGCAAGGGTAGTTTCGTTGGGTAAGCTGAGCTCTTTGGAGCTCTTTGCTAAGCTACATTACTCTCGCTTAGTGAAGGAAATGCTTTGTGGCACGATTCGTTGGGTGGGTTTTTGTTTGTCAGGCGATTAAACTCTTCTAGAGCTTATCATTAGGCAACCAACGGCTGATTGAGTGAACATAACTCCCTATGGGTTCTCTCACCAAATGACCATAACTTGTTGGGTGAACAAGGCCCCCTTGGAGTTCTCCCGTCGAGCGTGCTATGTTTCATTGGGTGAGCCTACAAAGAGACTACCATAGAGTCATTTATTCACTAGGCTACAATCGCGTCACTAAGCGAGAATGCAATTCTAGGAAATTGTTCTTCACTTGTGAATGAGCGCTTGGTGACATAATATTTTGTTAGGAAATAGTAGGGTTTTAACCCATGGAAATCTAACTTCACTTCAAATTCAATCATCATACTCCACCATATCAACATGCAACTTGTAAATCATCTTCTACAGATACCATACATCTCATAACACCAATTAAACACCACTTTCAACCAACTAGAGAATCAAGAATACCAATTCTTCTTCAAAACCATCATAAATCATAAGGAACCTAAAACCTCGAGGTTATCAAACCTCAATTCAACACCATAACCATCATTGGGTAAAATCAACATAACAATCGACACATATATTACAAAAAATGATTATTCTACAAGTTTCCCTTACCTTAATTACTCTAGAAATCAAGAGAAAAAGGAAGAAAATCCTGAAACCTCAAACTCTCATACGATGACTTCTCTCTTTGATTCTCGACTCCTTAGCTTTGAATCTCTACTTAAGCAACATAAATACTACTCTAGGGAAGGTTTTGAATGCTTCTATGAAGTCAAAAGAATAAAAGATCTACTTTGTCTCCAGAGTCTATCTCTCTAAAACTTTGAGAAATAAAACTTATGAAGTTCAAGCTTTCTAAAATTCTTATATACGTTCCCCTATTCTTGGTCAACTTTGATCTCAACATAAAAAATAAAATAAAAAACTCTAAAGAACTAAACTCTTAAGAATTTCATAAACTTAAGAGTTTAAAAAAAAAACTCAAAACAACATATCAACACATATACATATAAATCACATAATCATGCAATATATAAAGTATACAACACAAAACACAGTGATACATGGAGACAAAAAATGGATATTGTTGTTATAATAACTAGGGGAAAGGAATTTTGTGAATAAAAGTGACCATATTGAAATGTTATATGATAGCAAGTGATTTGTAACTAAGCATGAGTAGCTTATGGTAGTTATAAGAGTGCTATGATAAAAAAAAATAAAAAAAGTTAAGACAAGAAAAAGTTACTATAGTTAATATCCCTTTTATGTTAGTGTAGAAGAACGTATGTAAAGGATTTTGATGATGCCAAAGAAGTTGT